TCTCATTATCAAATGAGATATGAGCAATGGAAGCATATCCAGATCTTTGATCACTATATAAGCAATGCCGATCAACTGGTAATGATAATCGACTTTCTTGATTGTATCCATTCAGTTGAGAACGCCAAAACTCACGTGATAGTGTCATATCGATTAGACGCTCATGAACACTATAGTCTATATATTGTAATGATTCTCCATCATCTAACCATGTCATGTTACTATTGTAAGTATTACATAGGTCATTTAAAAAAATTGAGCCACTTGATTGATCAATTGCAGCATGATGAAAGCCGATAACGAGAACATCAGAATTTGTAATAATTTCTTTATCATGATTTCCATCAAGTATCATCTGTTGCCTGAGTATCTGACAATAAAAAACACGACCACTTGATAAATTGAACAAATTAGGATTAGTACTTGTTTGCGAAATCATTTTGTGAAGTTCAATTTCACTTTTGAATGTTTGATCGGCAGCCAATGTAAATGTCAAATGTTTATCAGTGATAGATTGTTTTAAAGCACTATCATCATCATTGAAAACTAAAGAAGTTCTTAATATCTTATGTTTGCTTAGGACACAACGAAGTGCTTGCAATAAACGATTCCTTGATAATGAACCTTTCGTAACTTGTAGAACAGCCAACTCATTGTAAATGGCAATTTCTCCAGCAGAACGTATTTTCTCATCAAGGAAAATACGTTGTTGAGCATATGATGCAATACCTATAAATTTGCAGAAAAATATTGTATCCTGATGCAGAAGTGCTTCTATATGCCTTACATTGATTAATATGTAGTGTGTGCCATTGTTTTGTTTGTATATTATGCATCTTAATATTTTCTAGCAGTTTCGCATGTTCGGCTATGGTATTATGTTCAAAGAATGACCGAGTGTTTATTGTTTCACTATCAAAATTAAATAACGTTTGATAATATTGATAAATTTGAATAAACAGAAGAGAATGGCCACCAATACTAAAAAAGTTTGTTAGCGTCGAGATTTGATTGCAACCGAGGATCTTACACCATATCGAATGAACAAGAGTTTCCAATTCATCTTTCGGTTCTAAATATTGACGATCAATAGCATTAGTCGATAGAATCGAGATATCAGGTATTGGAAGATGCTGTCGATCGAGTTTTCCATTTGCAATCAAAGGCAACTGTTTCAAGAAGACAAAGATGGATGGTATCATGTATTGATGAAGATATTTATTGCAATAATTTCGAATTTGTTCAGTGTCAAGCTCGGAGTCTTTTGTGACCACATATGCAACAAGTAGATCATCATTTTGTGCCAGTTGAGTAACAACACAGTCGGAAATCTTGTCAGGATACGAGTTCGTAATTGTATTTTCAATGGCAGTTGTTTCAACTCGTTGACCACGTATTTTAATTTGAAAATCAGCACGCCCAGCGTAAACAAGCTCTCCTCGTGTATTATATCTAGCTAAATCACCCGTTTTTATATAAACTTGATTGTTTATGGTTGTAAAGCTGCTGGTAGTAAGTTCGGGATCATTTAAATAGGAGTTAAATAAAGATGGGCCTTGTAAAGAATACATAATATAAAAGAAAATGATCGTAATAGATACTGCTTACCTCCTATATGAATTTGACCAATTTTACTTGAATTATCTGTAGTATTAATAATCTTACCATCATCATCGATTAGGAAACATTGAATAGTTGGTAATGGATAACCAATAGGAATATTTGTATCTTTGATATTTAACAATTGACATCCAAGAACTACACCACTTTCAGACGTACCATATAGAACACAAATTTGAACATTGTAAGAACTTAACAAATTAGCAAATTGAGTCCACTGTTGTGGCTTCATTCCTTCACCTAAGTTATGTAAGACAAGTAAAAACTAAGATGTCAAAAATAGATCAAAAGTTTATCATTACCTCCCATACATAGTTGGCGCACAGTATCGAATATTTTCGTTTGCTGACTATTTTCAATATAATTAGTCAGAGCTCGAATCATTGCAGGACCTATTAGTAGTGTCGTTATTTGTTGATGCATTAGAGTTCGAGAAAAATAGGCCACATCGAAAAGACCGCCTTGTCGCAGAAGCACAAGAGTACCACCAACGACTAATGTCAATGAGATTTCCCAAATATGTGTAATCCATGAACTTGCAGCAATTTGAAGAACGTGATCTCGAACAGTATACATACCGACGTCCCATCTAGTAAGAGCAGCAATACTAGCCGAAAAACTTCTATGTGTATGAACAACTGCTTTCGGTGGTCCAGTAGTACCTGAAGTAAAAACGATGAATGCAGCACTATACTCCCTAGAAATTGGAAGATCACTCATGTATTTGACATCCAACAATGGAAGAAGAATATGATCCAACACAATAACATGCCGAACGGCTGCTATTGGAAATTGATTACGAGTTTTCTCCTGAACTAAAACAAATTGACCTTGCATTTGTTTAAGAAGTATAATGAGACGGTCCGATGGCAGTGTCGGATCTAGTGGACAATACACTCCACCTATACATATGATAGCCAAAAAGCCACATATCATTTCAAAACCTCGTTCGACAAATTGATAAATTATTTGGCCTTGAACTACGCCTGAGTGATGTACTTGATATACGACACGTTCTACTTGCATAATCAACTCGCTATAAGTCCATACTTGATCATCAAGCACTATTGCTACCTTCTGAGGATATGATCGAGCCGTATTCAATATATTATATAACACATCGTATGATGTTGTCATATTTTAACTAGTATGTTGAAAATTAAAGGTGAAAGTTTAATCTAAAAATAATCAGCAAAAAGATTCATACAAACAGTCTCACTTTATAAAAGGGATCTTAAAAGTCTAAGAAAGTTAGGAGGGTGTGGATGATGAGCTGATAAGTGTTGTGTTTATCTCTAACGTACGTCCATCTGACCCACCCTCAAATAAGAAAATAATTTAAAAATAAGAAAACAAACTTGAGAAAGACTTTGACTTTTTTTTTGAGTTTGCTTTTCTTTTTCTTCTTGTTCTACTGCATTTGTTTTAGCTGGTTTTGAGCCTGTTGTTATTTCTAATATATGTGTTTCATCAAGTAATTCTTATTTTTCTACAGTCTTTAAATATCAATAATATACATCAAAACACTTTGAACATACATAAAAAAAACTTGAATCTTTAAATGTTTTTGGAATAAATATTGTTTTTACATTGATTTTTTTCTTTTTCTTGCGAATTTTTCTAAAAAAAATAAAATAACGGCATATCTAGTTATATTGAAATGTCTATAACTTATTCTTTATTAGTAGAACTACTAAAATTAGTGAATATTCTCATAAGAGTTGGATCAATATTATTAGATAAATCTTCAATATTTAGATCAATTTTTTGATTATCACAACTGATCCTAATAATTGTATCTATTTGTGATGAGACTAGTACCTATGCTCTTAGTTAAGGAAAAAGACTTTATATAAATAAAATAAATTACTGAATAGCAAATTTTTCATTGTTTAAAATCATGAAAATTAGTTTCGTAAAAACTTAAATCTTTTATTGCAGAGGAATTTATTGTTTCACTATTCATATTAACTATATGTATTGAAAATGCTAACTACTAAGTATATAGATATATATATTTATTTATTTAAATTATTTTTACTAAAAAATTCAACTTACATTAAATACAAGACAACCAGAACTAGCTTTATTTTCATCTTGAAGTAAAATAGTTTGAGAAGGATTGAGAATAAATTCAATTCTTATTTTTATGTCAGATGAAACAGAATGTTTAGAAGACTCTAATGGAAAATAAATAAATAAAATTATTAAATACACCTATAGCTTGTTTTGAATGTCTGGACTTACACGAATACGAAAATTTCCTAATTGATCATTAACTAATTAAAAAATAAAAAATATTTTAAAATAGAAAATTTCTATCTTATTTTATTAGATTTGTTAAATTGAACATTTATGTTAAATATTGATGAATTTTGTTAAACATTGAAATGTTTGTTATTAAAAGTTGAAATTGTTTTTCTCAAACATCATATAATAACAAATGTTGAATTTGATAATAAACTAAAATTTATTTCAATTAATTGAATTGCTAAATAAAGAAATTTAGAGTTTTCATCTTGAGTTATATAATTATTGTAATATTTATTTGAGAATGATAAATCCTTAACCAATTTATTGTCTTTGAAAATTAAACCGAATTTTTCATAAACATTTGTATCTTGTAAATCTTATTTTTTGAGAAATACATTTTGATGATTTTGTATGTTTAGTTTCAATTTGTTTTTCTTCTTCGTGTTGAGTATTATCAATTTTTGTAATTTCATAAAACAAGATTTTCATTAAAAATTTGATCAATAAATGCATAATTATTAATTTCGCTGGAATCATTTTGTGAATGTAAAGGACAATTAATTAATGTTACAAATGATAAATATTGTAATAAAATTACTTTATTAATTAATTAATTTTTGTCATTTTAATTAAAACGACTCGCTGAGAAGTTATAAATATTTATTATCACTTGAATATGTATTCATTTGTAATTTTCTCAAATCAATTAAAATACTTTTATTTGAATATGAATTCATTAAAATAAGTGTTTGTGAAGAATTTAATGTAAAATCCGTTTAAGATTCAATTGAATGTTTATTATAATTCTTGAAAAACGATCAAAGAAAACGTGGCTCATTACAAGATGTATCTTTATCCTTTTGTTGTTGTTGATTTGTTTGAAATGAATGAATTAATAATGATATAAGTTGAAGATATTTGTAAAGAAAAAGAAAATTTTATTTTTAATTTGACCTTGAATAAATAAATATTGTTCTTCAATTTTTCTATCATAATTAAATGAAGATAAGACAAATATAATTAAATCATTTGGTTTATTTTCTTCTAAAATAATATATTGATAACGAGATTTTATATAAAAATCAATAAGATCGTGAGGGTGAGTGAATGAGTAGGATAGATATGCTTCACTCTTCTAGTGAACCATTTGATTCAATATTATGAGTTTTCATATTTGCTGATGCTTCAATTATTTCAAATAAAATATGTATAAATTCTTCTGTATAATTTGTTAAATCTAATAATGCACATAACAAAATAATATCAATCTAGAATGAATAATTTAATATAAAACTGAATTTAAGTTGTGTTATTTGTTGTCCAGATCAGTTGTAATATCAATTTGTTTTTCAATATTTTGCTTTTCTTCTTGAAGAGTTTTTTGAACAGATATCATTTTTTTCAATTGTTTCATATTGTTCTTTTGAATTTGTTACATGTTTTTTATCTTTTGATTTTGATTTCTATTAATTTTAAAAAATAATATGGAACAAAATAAAATAAAAAAAGAACAAACTTGATTTTGTTTTTGTGGGTTTTGATCAAATGTTTGTGGATATAGAATTGTTTTCATTAATTTTAGTAAACCAAATAATAAATCAAATAATAAACCAAATAAATGTGTATTAGATATTCGACATTTAATGGAGGAAATATTTCCATTTGCTTTCTGACTAGAAATAAATAATAAATAATAATCTCTCATATTCTTTTTTATACTAGATAAAAGGATCTCATAATATTCCGAAGCATCTGGATATATGTTCAATTTCATAAACATGTATAGGAAGAAAGCTTCTTGGTTGCTTTGAATATTTTTATCTTACCTCTAAGTATAAAAAAGAATAAATGTATGTTATTTTACTTTTTCCTCAAACTTAAATACAACACTCCAGACATATTATCAAGTATATCCATATATGTTTGAGTGCGTTTATGCTTTCAGTAATCGCCCTATCCAGTAATTGTAAGGCATTTAGTTTTTACTCTAAAATACGAAAAAAGTGAATGCATATTGTCTTATTGGTTCGTCGATTTCACACGCAGTAACCCTTTCGTATTATACAGTAAATGGATATATTTTTCAATGCATTCACTATTTTAGCAATCACATGGCTTAATCACGATGCGCTTTTATTTTACCTTGAAATACGAAAATGGTAAATGCATATTGTCTTATTGTTTCACCACTTTTTTTCTAAATATTTACTTTTATTGTTCCTATATGTTGAGGTTGACAAAGTAAAATCAAAAGAGGAAATAATAACAAAAAGAAGAGATACAAAGGAAAGAATAGTGAGACGACAGATGAACATAAATTACGTTGATTAGTGACATCTTATGCAATTTAATATGTATAGAGGAAATACAATCAGTTAATAATGGTGTACAAAAAAGAGAAAAGAAGAAGAAAAAGAATTTATCGATGTATTAACATTTATTGAGATGATATAATACTTAGCACATCATTTATGAAAATCGAAATATATTCTTAAGGTGTTGTTAAAAGGTATTTATATATGAATGAACATAATTAAGGGACAAGAATTATATTTAAAGTACTCATATTGTTGACAATAGCTATTTATAAATTCTATTAGATCAATTCTCAAGTGTTTTGCTCTTATAGTTAATCAACTGAGAAATTTACTATTCTTACGCATACCCATGCTATGATATCATGTCTTTTGTTGAATTTCAGTATAAAAAACCAGCACGAGAATAGCCAAATTACGTGTGGTAGAGCATATGCAAAAAATACTTCCTTTTTTTAACTTAATGAGAAAGATTAATATTTTTTTTAAATAGAATACGAAGAGCATGATGTATTTTTCTAAGTTTCTTTAACTGATTTTCAATGTAAACTCTCTAGTCAAGCTTTGTAGTTATTTCGGCTCACAAATATTTGAAGCGTTTAACAAAATCTATTTTATAACTTTTATATTTGATTTTAGGGTACAACGGAGCAATAATGTCATGTATTCGTAGCGCTTTTGTTCTATTGATATTAACTGGAAGTTGTCATTATGTTTCATTAGTTTCAGGTGCAATAATCCTGTAGTATTATAAACTAAATGAATCTATTTATCAGTGCGTTTATCATTTTAGCAATAACATGCCTTGATCACGATACGCTTTTATTTTACCTTAACATACGAAAAAAGATAAATGCATATTTTTTTCTTTCATATTAGATAAAAGATTCTCGTCATATACTCAAATATTTGCATATATATCTGATTACGTCGACGTTCAGATAATGCATAGACACAAACTTTTACTGCTGCCCAATATGTAATTGAGTTAAAAACAAAGAAAGTTCTAGGTTTTTGAATCCAAAAATCAGCTGTAATAGAAATGAACTAATAATTTATATGGAAGACTTGAAAAGAATTAAATTATTTTTCTTTTTAATATTTGATTCGATTCGATTAGTCAATTTATAAAAATTAATGAAGTTTGAACTGTTTATTTAATTCAACTTTTTTATGAGTTTATATCGATTCTTTGTCAATAATGACGACAGATGAAGGGTAAAAGATTTGCTGAAAAACAATTTCGATGAATGAATGAAAGAAAGAAATGGGTTGAGACTAGGAGCAATCAGAGGTAGTTTATCGAATAAGAAAAAAAAAAAAAAGAATTAGAATAACAATAACGATGCGTTTCGAATGTTTCTTCTTCAGCCTATGATTTTTCATAGTGTACAGTCGTTATAACGATTCAATCTAATATACTTCATGATGATCCCTATTATTAATCAATCGACGATTATTTGTTCATTAGCAATTCATTATTTGATCATCCAATACACATTATTTAGTATCTTGAGCGTGGAAGTTGGTTTACAACTTTCTTACAACCTGATCCACCCTTGAGTAAGTCGATATACTTATGAATAGTTTTTATTACCATGTTTTTTTTTATTTCTGGCTATTTTTTCAAGTCAATTCGTGGATTTTGTACAAAATTATCTTATTGTGTATATAAAACAAATGTACTAACATCACTATATGTTCTCCATCAATTTTTGTATACAAACATTTATTATATATTGAAAAAATATTTATCAATGAATTTATTAACAACTTATTGGGACATCTAGACTATTCAATGTTTCAACTTCGAAAAACATTCTTTGGGGGTATTTTCAATATTTTCAATGCTAGTTGGTTTGTATCAGATTTATGTATGAAACTCATTATTTTTCAACTTATCTACATTAATAAACAGAATGATAAAATGATTGATTTTTATATATTTGAATTGTTTTTTTATTGATTTCATCGACTAATATTCATTAGTCATATACATCAGCTCATTCCAAGAATTAACTGGTACCGTCAGAAACTCTTCTCTTCTTCAACAAAATACATATAAGTTTATTTTTATTCGAATACTGTTTGGTTTGTTATTTTATTTTTGTGGTATAATGTATCATGTACATATTAAAAAATATCAACAATTATTATTCACTGGAAGAAACTTTTGTTCAGCTTTTATTACTACATCTCTGGTTGATCAGTATTATAAATATAATATTGAATATTTATATTAGAATGCTGAATTTAAATCTACACCAGTTTGAATATCTATTTTAAAATCGATTATTGGTATTTATATTGGTAACATATTTATTGCAAAATATGTCTCAAAATATATTAATGAGACCGATATTTTACTTATAATTAATAATGAAACATATCATATTATGTGTTAACATATGTGTATATATTTTATTTTAAATATTATGACAATTGCAATGTTTGGTGATGGATACTTTAAAGTTTTGAAAGCCAAAGCAAGCTATCGACACAACTTAAAAAATGAACTGAATTTTTTTCATTAGTTTGAGTACATCAATTTCAACTTTTTTAGCTATCTACATTCGTCAAGTATTACAGAAAAAGACTAAAGTAACTTCAAATGAATTGAAACTGTAAACTTACATGACTTGCTCATCTTTTGTACATTAGAATAGAAAATATGTAATATAAAGAGTTTCTTATAATTACAATTTCTTATCGGTATTATTTAATTAGAAGGATTTTTTCTATGTTGTATGTTCTTCGCACTGTCCTTTTTTTGTTAATCTCCTATTTTTCACTTATTATGTTCTTTTCATTAATTCAATTCTTATCTTAGTAAAATGATAGTCAGATTTAATAGACTAATTGTTTTTTAATTTATAGCACTTAAACTTTTCGTTAAACAGTTAGTTGAAATCATTATTGTTCGTTATATTTATAATTTTTGTTTACTTTTGATCTAAGAAACTGTAGATCTTTGTCACAAAGGTGATACTTTTGAAATAGTAGTCACTTTGAGACTAACTGAGAAATAAAATTCTACATATACGTTAAATAATTCACAGCACAAAATCAATATTTATGAATTTAATTTGAATCATTATATTTTCATATGTACTGGTGTGAGATATTAGTATATTACTGTTCACATATCGTTTCAGAATAGTTTAACAATTATATCTGTATATTTTTGATTTTCAAGATAATAATCACTTTATTTTCGAATTGTCATTATATCACCATTCTGACATTATTAAGATACTCAGGCATGCATCAATTTCGTGTTTTAATTTCGAATATAGCATATTTATATGTATGAAGCTGCTGATGAAATACTGCTAATATCAAATTGTTACTAACCTCAGATAGGTATGAACTATAATAATAGTAAAATACAGATTTATACCTTATTGCTGATATATGACAAGCAAGAACATTCATTCTGAATATTTATGTAGATATATAAAGAGCGATAAGTATGACTTATGGGAATCAATGGATTTAATAAATGTTGATTAAAATTGAATATGAAAGTATTTTTTACTCACTTAAAATATAATTCTCAGTCTTACTATTCCTATTGGCTTAATCCTGTATCATCTGTGTTTCTAACTCAATTTCCTGTCTTAACATTTTCTCAAACAAATAAATTCGATAATGAGATTGTGAGCACTATATCTAGTTTATTTGAATGAGAACGACAGAAGAGAAGAACAAGAAGAAAAGAAAAGAAAAAAAAGAAGATGATATATTTCATCAACGTATGGTGTATATATATATATATGTACATGATCATGTGATCATAGCATACGTTGAACGATGATCATATCGTATATAAATATATTAAAAAGGACTAGTAAAAGAATATCATACCATATATGAAACATAATAGAACAATCGAGGATGACCTCGATAATAGAGATCCTGTTTATTCGGAGGTTTGGAGACGGATTTGCGATAAAATCTCTAGTATTAAAATCCTATAGTCAGATTCAGTAGGATCTAACAGTTGACTGAAATTGAATATCCATATTGTAATATAATAGTGATTAGATAGTTGTTAAATAAATGAGTAACAGTTATAATTTTACCATTGAATCCATCAATAGTTCTGTTTTTCGATTTCTTATAAGCTCCTACCAAGTATTGGATCTCATCAGATATGGTGTAGGAATGATTGACACAAAAAAGTAATTAAGGTACCGATTATAATATATGGTGAAAGAATGAGTTTCTTTTTATTCTTTGCCCTATCCTTATATTCTCGAGTTATAATAGCAGAAGAATTGCAGAGCAATATTCACTGTTCAGAAAAGGAATTGTTCGTAGTCAAAGTTTTACTTGGTATTAATTATTGATAAATAAATCTACATTGTAATATTATCAAGACAAAAATGATTATTACAAAGAATATAGAAGAGCAACTAGCTGACCATGAAGTTATTGATGTCGTAGTCATCGCATTTATTGTTACACTCAATGTTATTGAATTGAATGATCACAAGGAAGTGTATAGAAAGATATTGTATAAAATTAACAGAAAAAGTTTATAGTGAAATGCGATATAAAAATCGGATAATTGTATTACCCAAAAGAGAACTATGACTCTTTATACTGCATTTGTAAAATGTTACAAAAAAAAAGAACACAAACGCATCTTTCGAATAAATGAAATTTTTTATCACAAACTTAATTTGACTCTTTATCTGTATCTATACGAATGCGTACAGTTAAATATTTTGAAAAACATGTCAAACGTTAAACATATTCATCTGAATTATTTGCTGCATCATCTGGATCTTCAAATGAAACTCGTCGCATCAAAAGTACTAAAACAACTTTCAGTTCAAAAAAACTGTAAATCTTGGCTAATACATACACGGTGATCATCGTCAAATCGCATATAAGCATACTAAAGTGGATTATAATCCTCATTTAAAAATTGTTGAGATACAAAGTTTGTTGGATCAGTTTTCTAATAGCGTGGATTTCGATGTAAATTTTGAGTATCAATTACAATTGTATCCTATTTTCTTAAAGGTGTATCATCACGTATTGCTTCACGACTTATGGCTCCAGCAATAGGAGTATATCGAAGAATTTCTTTTTTTTATACATTTCACATAAATCAATGAATCAAATATATCTTGTGTTAATTGAGTTTCGTCTATTCAATTATCTTCCTTAAATTCATTTTTAATTTTTTGTTGAATTTCTGGATATTTAGACATGTAAAAAATAAATCAAGAAAGTACAGTTGAAGTTGTTTCAAAACCACCTAATATTGACATTGAAACTTCATCAAATAATTCGTTGTGAGTTAAATAAGCTTTCGTCGATGAACATTCAGTTTGTAGAAAGACTACAAGAGAAGTAATTAAATTTTTTGGTTGATTCAATGAAAAATAGTCATCTTGTTGACGTTTTTATTCTTCAGAAATAACATTCATAACATATCGTTTCATAATGCCTGATGCTTGTTGATATTTCCAATTAAGAGTTAAGATTAGTTTTCCTAACCAAAGTGGAATTGCAGTTAATAATACAAATTGATTAGCGTAGTGAATAAAATCATTAAATGCTTTTCGTAAATTATAAGAATCAGTTTGTGATAATGATTCAAGATCATAATCAAAAGCTATAAGAGTAATAATATTTAAAAGAACATTTGATATTGTATAACGAGACCTGTGGTATTTCTCCATTTTGTTTAATAAGTTGTTCATCAATTAGACGATCAATACAAGTAACAACTGTATTGAAATAAGTTAAAATTTTTACTCGTTTAAACATAGGAAGCAAAAATCGTGAGACTACAACCAAAGGATATAAGGTCCAAGTCAAAGTAAAAAAACATCTCCAAACTTTTCTTTTAATGTAGCAAAAAGTTCATGAACTGCTATCGAACTTGTTGGAATACCTGTATTTTTCAAATTACCCAAAAGCCATTGAGGTTTAACACCGGATAATTTTTTGCTGCGATCTTTAACAATGGACTGATAAGATTTGAAATAATAGTAGATCACTATCAAGAGTACGATTAATAGGATGAAAATAGTTGCAGAAAATATGATAACAATATTTAAATAACAGCTTTTATAAAATTATATTTAAGTTAGGAATAAAAATAAACAACGATGACTGGCGTATCTATGTACATATAAAAAAGTACGCAAAAATACTCCTTCACAGAGTATATATGTTTTTTTCTTGCCAAACTATCAATACTTCAATTGTTGTTTTTTCTCCTTGACAATAATTCTTACAGATGATCGTTTTCTACACTGATATTTAAAGGAGTAATATAATAAAGATAACAATCATTCTAGAAATCAATATTTTTTTCTTCAAATTAGAATATATCTCGAAATGTATTTCATTTGAGGAAAAATTTATTCTTCAGTTTATAAGAAGCATATTTCTAAATTTCCTTTTATACAGAATGCAATAAATTTAATGTATATTAAAATTATATGACAGTTAAAAATGAATAAGAATACCTATATGATGGTAAAAACTATTTAATAAAAATATGATACGAAGTATAAAAATCGTTTTCAAAAATGTAAATTTTTGATTTCATTGTATTATAGGGGTTGTGCATTTTTGCTGTATAAAAAATTTTGATTTCGATATCTCATGTATTGAAGAAATAATTGGATTTCGTCATCCTCTATTCATCATTACATGACTATTTCTGTGATATTTTTATACTTACGAATACATTCTTATATATTAGTCATACATTGACGTAGTGGGCATGAAAGGAAGACAAACGAAGCGTAACAATTACATTCATATATTTTCAAACATTTTATATGACACTTTCCTTCCAACTATTAATTTATAATCTAATGCTATTAGTAATAAAATTGTCAACCATTGAGTATTAGTGAACTTTCAACATTTTCAAACGTTTATAGATTTAATTTAAAGTTGTTTATTTCAAAAACATACTCATAAAATTTTCTTAGGTCTAGTATAACTTATAAACTTAAAAGTTTTATAGAATATCTTACTACTAGATTCTTGATGTATTTTTCAATCATATTAGACTACCTATAATCTTACAGTAATATCGTCTCTATGACAATAGAAGTTATCAAGAAATCTTTGATATAATTTAGCATATGAGATTCTTAACTACGATCATCATCAAGGTGTACAAAATCAAAAGTATACGATATTGTAAAACTCAACCATTCGATTAGTTGCCTTCGCACCTCATATAATTCCTTTTATATGTTTATATACTATTGAGAATATATTTTGTAGAAGCTGATCAATTTATCTAGTAATTACAAACAAAACCTTTTAAAGTGAATCATTTGTCAATAAATGACAAAATCTATTCACTAAAAAATCACTCATATATAGAAAACTAAAATAATGATGGTTTTAATTGAGCTTTTTAAGTAAATTTTTTTTAGTGAAAAATTAGTGATATGAAAATATTTTTGGTTTCGAAAAATGAATTATTTATATATATATCACGAGATAATGTACAGATGTGAATAAACACTATTATTCTGTCATAATATTTTCATATAAAAAAAGAAGCTTTTTATCTAACGTATTCATTATCCAGACAATAAGACGTCAATAGGTAATTTGCCGTATAGTACGAAAAATGCTGCACATCTTAACGCAGAATCATTACTTAGTCATACACGCAGGTGACTCATTCCCATGAGATGCACTTTTCATAAGTAAATAAGGGTATGTAAATACAGTTGTCTTCTAAACTAATTTACATCATTTATATCAAAACAAAATACTTCTATATACATTTGATAACACAAAGAAAGCATTGTACCGTATCATATCAATACACATTACATAGAGAAAATACATTTTATTTGCCATCAACGATTCATTAGTAATGCATGTGATGTTTTTATTCATCTTTATTTTCTATTCGATCATTAATTCGATTTTAGCAGCGAATTATTCATGTAATACAGTTTCTTCATGCGGTTGTTCAACAGTATCTACAGTTGTTACATCACGAATTATTGGTGGAGAAATTGCATCTAATCATACGTGGGATTGGATAGTTTCTTTTCAAAGCAACGGTGCACATAGATGTGGTGCAAGTCTTTTAACATCCGAATATGCTGTAACAGCAGCTCATTGTACTGTAGCCTTATTACCTCTTATGCCAAATTTAACTATTGTTGCTGGTACAAATTATTTAACGGATTCATCCAATACAGCTGTACAACGAAGATCTATCATTAACATGTTTACACATCCAAATTATAAGAATGGTACATTCGTGAATGATATCGCTATTCTCCAGTTTGCTCCACTTAATATATCATCAGATTTTAATATCGGTTTTATTTGTTTACCTCAAATAAATCACGATCCATTTCAAACGAATACTAGTCTTATAGCTATAGGCTGGGGTGTCACATCTACCGCTGCAAATGCTAATGCATCTGACTTTCTAGAACAAGTAACTGTCCAAGTTTTCTCATCAACATCATCAGATTGTCAACGATCAAACATAACCAATACAACTGTACAATTCTGTGCAGGAGTTTCTGAAGGTGGTAAAGGTAACGTTTTATGATATATAATTGTTTTTTGTAAAATAAAATAAAAGAAATTTTATTTCTTTTCTACTTAGATACATGTCGAGGTGATAGTGGAGGCCCATTAATGGCTTTTGTTGATAATGCATGGGTATTAGCAGGAATAACATCTTTTGGTCAAGGATGTGCTCAAGCAGGATATCTTGGAGTATACACACGAGTGTCTTCGTTTATTCCATTTATCAACTCAATTATTTTTTTTTCAATACAAGCATCAACAACACCATCACAAGTTTTGAATGGAATAACTGTAAAAAATCAAGGCAGAAATATGATAAATAAATCTGGATCAATTTCAATCTTTTGCTTTTTATTTATAATATTTTCTTTATTTTCAATCTAATTGTAAAACATGTAAATTGGAAAATAGATAATATTTTTTTGAAATTTTTTTCATAGTATTATTATTCTATTAGCAAATAAATCAAACTAGTTGAGTCAATAGAAATAGCACCATTTTGTTATAGGAACTCTAGCAGAAAAAAATTATTCTTGAATAATTTCAAAATGAGATGAATATCTTATTGATATTTGAAAGTGTTATAATCAAAAGTAGTTACAGATAAGAGTAGATAAAGATTTATTATTGTTTTCTATTCTCGATTAATCGAAGAATGATACCTTTTTTCTATATTACAATCATATCTTTCAAATAAACAGGAGCAAAAATGTTCACTATATACATACGATAGAAATAATTTAGAAAATAAATAATTCTTCATTGATTCTGTTCTTTTTTAAATAGATTATATTTTAATCGAAAAATGGAAATTTATTCTAGAACTTTATGAGAAATCGATTGCATACTTATGTCATGGTTGATTTATTTAAATAAAACTAAACAGAAATTCCATCCTTTGATAAATATGTCTATAGATTAACTGCTATTACGAATTTTAAATGATTAGTATATACATACTTCTTTCAATATTATCAAAAATTACCAATCAAATGTATTAAATCAAAGTTTATATTTTTTGATCAATATCAACAAAGTATATATCATGGAAACCTAATAAGAGTGAGAACAATCACCAGTTATTCATTCACTTGTTCTCATATAATAAAATTTAAATTACAAATCTTCTATAGAATCTTTTCAAGGTCATACAAATGTTATATTCTATGTCGATAATGTAAAATCTTAGAAATAATTTTAATTAAATAGTCAAAATAGATATTAGATTCAATGAACAACAAGCTGTTACTTTAACAGATATAATCTACATTATTCGAAAATAGAAAAATAATTTTATGAATATTTAAATTTGATTACTAGTCGTTTATCGAGACTTATACTCTCTCTATTAAATTCATTGTTTAGTATGTCTACTTCTTTTTTTTAAGATCATACCGAACACCTGTCATTATTATATGAGGGTAGGCGTATTCTTCGATCAATTCACTTTGTCATTATAATCAAGTGAATGAGTTGTATAGTATTATTTGTGGCATCGAATGTTCATTCATGCATATCTAATCACATCAGTACCAATAAAAAACATTTTGTAAATAAGAAAAATATTCATGTCGTCTTATTTAAACATTTCATCAATGAATATGATTTCTTAACGAGTATTATTGAAAACAAAAAACGAAGAAAATGATCATCAATCGTTGCAGGTGTCAAGTTTTCTTGTATAATCTCTCTTTCCCGTTCTATGCATGTACATAGTATCGTTCACATGCAAACATAGTACTACTAACAAACAAATAGAAGTCTAGCTAATGATCGAAAACGAGATGATGTGTGACAGTCATATATATATGGATTAGACGAGAGAAAGGAGGAGTCGAACTTTCTCAACATATTTTTCAATATGATGAAGTCACTCTACATATGTATATTTATCATTGCACAAGCAAAATAAACGTTTCAATAAAGAAAATAAAATAAAGAGAATTTTAAAAATGTTAAAGAAAAGTAATCAGAATAAAAACAATAACAACAACAACTTATAAAATATTCACCAAACAGAGAAAATCGCAAATGTAATTGATGGATGAGAGAAGATTAATAGGATGAGAACTATTTATAGGCTATATTTTAAGTTCCTATATACAGGAAAAAGAAACTGATTGGAAAGAAGTCGACGTTGATGAAATGTATAAATTGAGAATTTAATTCATATGGATTGTTCTTCTTTTTCGTCTTTTCTTTTTTTCTCTTTTCATTGTCCTATTTTACACATTTTATTCAGGTAATCGAAACAAGCCAACGATCAATGTATGTACATGTATATGTATATGCATGTATGCATTCGATCAATAATATTTCTCTTTACTTTCGTCTTTATTTTTCTTTTTCGTATATATATCATTTGTGAGTACGATTGATGCAAACCTTCATTATTGCACACAGCTTGAATTGTTCTTGCTCTCTTCTCTCATTTCCCTTTTCTTTTCTTTTCTTTTTTTTATTATTTAAAGACTGATGGTCACATATTGATTAGTTCAGAAATTATATGATTCGTCAATGGCATATTCGATAAATTTTCTCATAACCCATATAAATAGTTTTCTTCATACAAGATTAGAAAATCAATATAATATTTTTTCTGTACAATCTTGAAAATAAATTCTCTTCTTTATACGAACGAAAAGGTAATACTAACATTAGGTATTTTATTAATAAAAATAATTTCTATTATTATAAAATCTCATTAATTATGCATATGTGGTCTTTGTTATGTCACAGAATCGAGATACCAAAACATACATTATTTATTATTTTTTACTAAATAATCAACAACAACAGATTTTAGTATTTATTCGCATAGTTATTGCCGTGTTGGCTTAAAATGAAACAAATATAAATTATAAGTTTTGTAAAAAATAAAAGAAGTTAAGTTGTCCAATATGTGGCTAGGAAATTGATTGAAAAAGCTTCTAAGTTGATTTGTTCTGAGAATTAACCATCTTTGAATAGATTCCATTTGATTTCAATAGTTCATTATGTGTACCCTAAATTTATATTATCAAAACAATTTCTTTGTTCAAGATTCTATTCTACTTACTTCTTCTTTCATTTGACCTTTATCAATAACAATAATTTTGTCTGAATTTTGAATTGTTGATAAACGATGAGCAATTGTCAAACTAGTTCGATTCATTTTTACATTTTCTAATGTTTCTTGAATCTTTGATTCACTTTTATTATCTAATGCTGATGTTGCTTCATCAAAAAGAAGAATATTTGGAGAATGTATTAAGGCACGAGCTATGGCGACTATTATTTATTATACTATAGTTTGAAAATTGAAAAATTATTTCATAAACTTACTTCTTTGTTTTTGTCCAGCAGATAATTGATTACCTCTATATCCACACAATGTATCATAACCCTATGAAATAGAATATTTTTAAATAGGAAGTAAAGTGCTTGTAAAACAAACTTCAGGTAATGATATAATAAAATCATGAATATTGGCTATTTGAGCAACTTTTTCTATTTCATCTTGAGAAACTTCTCTACTATTATCACCATAAGCTATATTATCACGTATTGAAATATTGAATAGAACTGGTTCTTGTTGAACAACACCCATCAGTGAACGAAACCATTTAATGTTAAGTGTACGAATATCATGACCATCCAAAAGAATTTTTCCTCTTGATGGATCATGGAATCGTTGTAATAAATCAATTACTGTTGATTTTCCACTTCCTGATGGTCCAACAAGAGCTGTAGAATTATTATTTACACATGTTAATGAAAAATCCTTAAGTATTTGAACATTTTGTCTTGATGGATATCGAAAATAGACATGTTGAAATTCGATTCGACCTGTGATCTTTTCCTAAAAATTATATAATTACAAATTATTTCAATATATATCTATCGTTATATATAGAGAGAATTTTTACTAAAATAATGCCTGAATTATCATAAGGATCAATTTGTGATGTACGTTTAATTAATTTTAGAATTCGTATTGCAGCATGTGTCGCTTTAGAATAAGCTGGATTTTGTCCTATTCTTTTACCAATATTTGCTGTTGCATTCAGGATAACTGCATAGATCCTTAAAATGTATTAATTATAGTTTTAAAATTTCAGTTTTTCTCTTTTTAAATTTCGTACCTAAATACATTTTGAAACGGCATTTCGCCTTTTTGAACAAGCATACTACCATACAAAGAAGTAACGGCAATGATAAAGAAGTTCAAAGAATTAGCGACAGCTGCACCCAATGCTGTTGTATGTAGACAACACATATTTATTCTAAATATTTAATTATTTGGATGTAATGCGAAAATCAATAATTTTATACTTGAATTGTTGTTCAAAAAATTGTTCATAAATGTTGATAAAATGATTTTCTTGATGGAGAGCGACTACAGTTCGAATATGTTTTATAGCTTCAGAAGCGTACTAAATAGAATATATAAAGATGAAGTCAATATAAATATAGTATTTTCTTTTTACGTCTATTTACCTTCCCACCTTGTTCAGAATACGAATCTTTATCTTGAGTTTTACTTACGTTACCTTGCCTTTGTCCTTGTAATTTGCTTGACAAGAACAGAATGGGTATGAAACATGAAAGAACTAAAGTCAATTTCCAACCAGAAATAAATCCTATAGTAAAACACGCTGCTAATGCACTGAATCCTTGCATAATAATACCAATATGAATTCCTGTTAATCCCTAGAATATTTATTACCGATTAATCATAAAACAAAGATATCTTTATGCCATTTGAGCATACCTTAACAGCTGCTGTATCTGACGCCAGTCGTGTACTTAGAACATTAACAGAATTTTCTTTCATATCATAATAACTCATTTCTTGTCGAAGTAAAGATGAAAATGTTAATCTACGCATGCGAGCTGTAAGTTCTTCACCAGATTTTCCAAATGCAAAATTTAGAATAAATTGACAAAGTGCACCAACAACACCCAAAAACAAAATACCGATGGTAGAAAAGTTCATGAATCGTGTCTGTTTATCTTCATTTAATTCAGCAAATGAACCATAAATTCCCGTATATAAATATGCAAATGCTGGTGAAATAACACCAAGAATAAGGGATGCTATACAACCAATTAAGATCCAATGCCATTCTGGTATGTTAAATTTTAATATTTGAAATAGAAACATTAAATGAAACTTTTTCTTTTGCTTTTTCTCCATAGAATCATCGAATAATGATGTTGCAGTATCATCAATTTCTTTCTCTTCAATATAGTCGTTCAATTCTCTGATATTTTCACGAATGGCTAAAATAATATATAAACATATTTCAAAACTATATGAAATAACTCACTGGATAATACTTGAGTATATGATTGCTTTAATTTAGCTTCTTCTTCCATATCTGTTTCAGATAATGATTCATATTGTTTGTCTACACCTTGCTCATTTACTAGTTCATAATAAAGTCCTTTGTATTTCATTAGTTCATCATGTGTACCATACTCAACTGTTTGCCCATCATTCAATCCAATAATTATGTCGGCATTTCGAATAGTACTTAAACGATGTGCAACAACAATTGTTGTTCGACCTTGTTTTGCATTATCTAATGCATCTTGTACAATTCGTTCACTTGTATAATCTATGTACACATATGTATATGAAATATTTCTTTAACTAAAGATATACAAATATATTGATTATACCTAATGCACTAGTTGCTTCATCTAATAATAAGATTTTTGGATTCGAGATGAGTGCACGAGCAATAACAACTAATCAATAATAAAAATAAAACAACAAATTTTATATTATTAGGTAATAATTCAAACCTCGTTGTTTTTCACCACCACTTAGTTTATCACCTGATATTGTCTTATAATTCTAGAGATAATTCATATAAATGAGAGGAAATATGAAAAACTTCATTTGATACCAACCTCAGGAAAATCCATAATGAAATTATGTGCATTAGCTAATTTAGCTGCAGCAATAACTTCCTCATCTGTTGCATCTAGTTTTCCTAATCGAATATTCTCTTCGATCGATCCATCAAACAGAACTGGTTCTTGACTAACAATTCCAATATGTAAACGAAGCCAAGCCACATTCAATGTTTTTATATCATGTCCATCAATCAATATTTGACCATTATCTGAATCATAGAAACGTTGTATCAATTGAATAATAGTACTTTCTAATTATATAAATAAAAGATTATTATTGGAGAAAGGCCAGTACTTACTGCCACAACCAGATGCTCCAACTAAAGCAATCGTTTTACCAGATGGTATTTTCATTGAGAAATTTTGTAAAATCTTAAATATAAAAAAGATTTTAATCATTATAATGAGAAGAAATAATCATACATAAGATTCTTGTCGTGTAGGATAACTAAATTTTACATTTTTAAATTCAATATCACCCTTGATTATTTCTGGTTTCTTTCCTTCATCATCCGAAACATTAATTTTTGTCTTCTAATAAATAAATCAATACAATTTTTGCTATACAAGAAAATGATCTGTAGTTTACTCGTTCGATCATATCAAATACAAAACTTCCACTAGCTGACGCTTCTGCAAACGAGCGAAAGCATGGGATAAATTGTGTTGCTAAAACTGTTGCAGTCTATTTAACAGAGTATTTCATTTGTTTATTTATTTATTTTAATCAAAGAAAGAAAATCAACGTACTAGACATGAGGTTAATACCTAAATTATTTGAAAATAATCTAAAAAATCTATTTTGATATTAATAAACTTACCATGAATAACGTTCCAGGTGTATAATGCTGACTTTCAGTTCGTGTTAATTTCAAACCATACCAAAATGTTAATGTAATAGCTGAAAAACTGAGAAGTTGTCCAAGACCTTGACTTACACCCATGCACAAACTTTTTTTAATTCCAACTTTTGTTGCTGAGAATAGATTCTGGCTATATCTATGTATGGAAAATAATTGATAGTTATATATTAAATAATAATACGAACCGCTCTTCCTCTTTCTGTTGACCATGAAATGATGTTACTGTTCGAATATTTCCTAATGCTTCGTCAGTAATTGATGATGCTAAACTATATGCTTCTATCTCTTTGGCACTGTATTTAACAATTATCTATAAGTAACACAAATCCATCAATATAGATAAAATAAAATCAGTTTCTTATTGTTATATTACTTACTACAATAGTTATTTTATACATAAGAATAAATAAAGGTGATACTGATAAAAAGACAAGTGATAATTTCCATCCAATTATCAAACCATATATAAGCAGACAAATTGCTCTTGAAACTAGTGACACAAAATCCGGTACTTTTTCACTAGATAAAATAAATTAAATAAATGAAAATCTGTTATGTTCTTCATACTTGATGCCGTTTTTAACTTTATCTAATAAAGTAAAAACATACTCATCAGCGAGAAAATTATCAAAATTTGTTAGTCATTTACCTAGATCATCATTAAGACGATTGTTTAATTCACCAATACTATGAACATCAAACCAACCGATTTCTTGATAAAGAATATTTCGAAAAAGTTTATAACTATACATATGAATATTTACAGATATAACACAAATTATAAATTATCTTTTTTCTCTACCGAATACGTCGTATTTGTCTTTCAGCTGTAGTCATCCAACTTGCCCATGCCACCCAATAAAGAAATATACTTATACAACCAAGGATAATATAATTTTTACTAATCGATTGTATAGCATTATATGGTAATGTTATATTATATTCATTGGATGAATAGGTGGCTTGACTAAAAAAGCAAATTAAACAATATTTCTAGAAAAATTACAGTATCATTACCATTCATTTGAATCAGCTGGATATTGATTTGTACTTGTTGTTTTCATGCTATTATTGCCCAAAAGAATAAGGTTATCAAGTAGCTGGCGATTAAAATAAAACATTGTTGCATAAGAAACTAAGAAAGAATAATTCATTAGTATTGCATCTATTCTTTTCTCCTCTGTAGTAACTTACCACCAGTGGCCAATGCTCAAAATAAAACAAAAAGAATTATTACATTTTTTAATAAAAACTATAACTAACCAGCAATTATTCCAATAATCATTAGAAGAATATCAACTTTGTCAGCAAATTTATAAATTTCTAATAATTTTATTCGACGATTTGATGTATTCTTCAATGGTTTTGTTGACTTTCTTAATAGACTATTTAACAATCAAACATTCTCACTTTCATTCTCTTAATAAATAATAAAATAATACTAACGGAATTCTTGATAAAAAGGTAAATCGATGTTTTTCACCAGATACTATTGATATGTTATCACTCTCAACTGAAATGTGACTCGATGTATCTTTATTATTCCGATTATTTGATTCCTTTTTCGTGATATCATTTTCGGAATTACTATCATTATGACGAAACGTCATTCTGTGCTTGTTTAATCTGAGAAGATGTTTTGAAATAGATCTAAAAGATAAATAAAAATATTTTCTCATCAATGAACAACGAAAACTGATGAAAAGCTTCGAAACTCATATTTTATTCATAGATTAGACTATATATATCTAATAAAATCTCGAATGAATATTGTTCTAGAAGACTTTCATTTAAATTTAATATCATCTCAGTATAATTGGAACAGAAATCACATGAAGCAAAACTCGTCTGAGGTTTTATCAGTTATATCAAGTTGAATCTATGGACATAATTTAAGCTCCACATATTTCTTTTGCCAGCATTACCAAACAAGTTGTATCATCACTATTCGTTTTATTTTAATAAGATGGCTAACAAACTGACTTGTGCGTACTGCTTACAACAAATACTTACTGACAAATATATCTATGTGATTATAAAAAGCGACAAAAATAAAAGTAAATTTGGTTTGAATGTAAAGCAGATATCCTCTATATAAAGGGAAAGTAATTGTTCGTTATATACACGTATGTCTATTATCAACGTCAATAATACAGATTTATATCATGTTTTTTTTTATTTCGTTATTTTAGCTGAATGTATTGTTTTTAACTTGACAGATTACATATGTCTATTGACGTCGATGTGTTTTATACATAGCAATTCAAACGTACTGAATTACTTTGTCTATTTATCACCAACAATATGATGACGTGTACACGCATGCTTCTTTCTTTTTTTATCGTCATCTATACTCTCTGACATGCGTATATATATAATTCTTCCCTAGAATTTTGTTGGATGAAAAAGGAGATAATTATCTCTGTTAAATTAACGTAATTTAAAATAGTCAAAAACTCTTCTTTTCCTTCGGTCAGCTACTAATCTGTTATAATTCACTTAACCAGTACAATAAAGAACTGGATAATGTCTCAATCGATATAGAAGAGAAATGTATTTTTTCACACAAGAGCATCTGCAGTACAAAATATTGCATATTGATGAAGTTTAAATTGAATTTTGGCAGTTTATTCCAATCCATTTCTGATTCGAACAGAAGTATTATAACGATCGTCTCAATAGAATATGAGCAACAGACCGAAGCAAATGATTAAAAATAGATTTGAATATACAAAACAACAATCAAAAGTTAAACATCTAAAAAATTAAACGATACACGCTATCAAAATGTTCTATCATTTAAAAAAAATATATCTCAAGGCGATTTCTTTAATCGATAATCATCACTATTTTCTATGATTCTAAATATACATCAATATCAATTTTTGATAGTGTACCAATCCGTATTGATAATAATCTTCTTTTGATAGTTATTAGTTATTATATTTTACATGGATTCTTTTTCATGAACTACATTTGTTACAATCTGTTCTCCAGCGAATACTTGCTTCACTGTTAATAACTAGTATATCATTAAAAAAGAAAAGAAGATTAATCTGATTGGTAAACGAAATAAATATTGCAATGAGTGATGTTAGTTATACAAAAACAACAAAAAAATATACACAAAAAAGTAGAAGGAAAAAAAATACGAATGTCGTCATCATCATACAATAAACTATGGTAATACGACGAAATATCTTTAATCAGCTATTTAAAGATAAAATATTCTTCGTGTTCAAAAGAAAAAGTTTTCTTTTTGCAATATAAATTAACTTGAAACTTGTTTTAATGTTTATTTAATAATTAATAAAGCTAATGATTATCTTTCTATTTATTAAATTATTTGAAACATCATACTATATAACATATTTTGGTTAAAATATATTTTTAAAAATAGAACGAAATACTGGCAAGTATCGAGATAGTTCTTAATGTTTGACTGTTAGTAAATGAAGAATATATTTTAGGTGAAAATAATTAAATTTTCATATCTTAAGCATCGATCGAAAATAGGCAGTTAAATTTAATTTATCTGCTTGTGTTCTTATTGTTTTTCACTGTATGAAGATTGTTTAACTGTTAGCATAATCGACAGATTTGAATTAGAATTATGCCTCTTTGTATGTGTGAGCGTGTTCAGATAGTTGATGTAAAATTTACCATAAAAACCTGTTTTATTGGCTCGATAGCTACTGTGGAGATGGGTATCATTTCTGAAATAGTTCAAATAATATTTGTACATATCTGTCAAATATACATCTCTAATTAATGTAAAATATTTTACAATAAAATTCTTCGACATATCGTATTGAATTCATGATTTAAATATATGCAAAGAATTGAGAACGGTATATTTGTTCTTAATAAAAAGACTTGCTCAAAAACAAATAAAAATATAATTGAGAACTACGAAAGATTATTTGGAAAATTAAAAGAACATTTTGTAAGTTAGTCTATATAAGTGAAAGTTATCTTGTAAATATTGAATCATCGATTTTATTTTATTTTTGAAATGAAATGTGTTAATAAAACATGTCGAAACATAAGTTTTTCAAAATATATATGAAGATAGTTAGAACCAAATTTATCCTTTCGACAATAATTGCCTATTATTCATATCTCTCCAGAACTAGTTAATGACGTTATATGCCTAATAATATTCAGTCAACAATTATTTTTCTTATCTTCGCATGTATTTTTGTATTTAAATTTTTTTATCTTGTACTAATTCAAATAACATTGATTCCTCATAATCATACGCCAGGTGTCGATTTATCGATTATTTTATTACATTTACCAGAAGAACAATGGAAATTACATGATCTTATTTTCGTCAATAATTATCAATCATCGCATATGATATATTTAATATAAATAAGAAAATCAGCATCTGCTATAATAAAAAACAAATTTAATACATCACTTAATTAATGTAAAAATAAATGTGTTATTTTGTTCAACAATTATTATACTTTTCCGATAAATATTTATACGAGATGTGTATAGCACAAATTGTATTTGATTTATTTAAATGAACAACATGTATTATCTCTTTTGTATAATTATTTTTATTCAACATAATTAAAAATAAAGTAAATAAAATATAGGAAGAAAAAATACATTTCAGTTAATATGAATAGTTAAATCAATTATAGTTTTCTCTCGAGTCGTATCATATTAAATCTACATATGCACAATGTATGTTTTTTTTAACATTACGATGAAATAGAATTTAATGATAGTAGAACTATCAGTTAAAGATTTTTTAATTTCGTACCAAGAAGAATTATACCAAAGATATTCTTTGTTAATCCATGCATACGTTCAGCTTCCTTACTTTTTTTGATAAAATACTGTGATATAAGTCTTTATTTTTAGTTCATAAGATTTTCTTCAACATTAATAGAATAAATATTTCTAACTCAATTCAGTTTACTTCACTTATATTCCTATAGGATTGTACCATTATGTCCATTGCAGATACACTTCCTCTTATTCAACAACATATACCTCACTATATTTTTATCTACAATTGCTGCATTTGCAAATTTAGGTCATATAATATTATCACAAAAACAACGTCGATTAAATTCATGTTCAGTTTATCTTTTTGTACAATCATTTTTTGGTTTGATTATCACGAGTTGGGCTATAATTTCACTTGATCATGCAGGTCTTTTAAGTACATCATTATAACATTATGTCGTATTTGTGGTTATAGCATACATACTTCATCAATATGCTTTCAATAAAGATTTCTTTTTTCGATGAGTCAATACATTAGAAAGATACTTGATTAATTCCGTTCAATATCATACTATTTTATATGTAAAGAGAAAAAAAATGAGGCGAGCAATTTTGTATTAAGATGTACTTGTTGAATCTGTATCGCAAAGACGGTAGAGATTTCAGAAGTTGCCTTCAGCTAAAATAACTGGAGTAATCCGAATTACCCCAAATTCATTTTTCAATTTTTTAAAGTGGCTGATAGTGGTCTCAGTATTTTAATTAATACATTACAATGGCTCGTACGTTCATCGAGATATTCTTAGGTCCCATAGAAAATACTTCGGGCTATCGAATGGTATCATTTTTTATTGCATAAGACGTAATAAAAAACGAGTTAAGAGATGGAGAAATCAAGTTCTAGTTATTTTGCTGGAGTAATTCGACTTACCCCGAAGGACTTTATCAGTTACAGTGGCTATAACCAACAATTACTATGGTTCATCATTTGAATAGACAGCAGACATTTTCTTGTTTGTTACAAAATATTTTCACATATTACTAATTAATATAAGACATTGTTCGATTGTTTCTTTAATAAACAGATCTGGTTTTAATTAATATGAAACAATGATATAGAAGTAGCTAAAAGCGATCATCGATCTTCATGTTTAATCTAATTACAAGTCTAACTGAAATTTGATGATTAGTCGTTCATAACAGCATGCTTTTATAAAGCCAAGGCCAAACAAACAATCATCCAGGGTGTCGTTCTTCTGAATTTATTTATAAAATATAATAAGGAAAACAAAATCTCAATGTGAATTACAACTAATATCCGTTTATTGTTATAAGATTTATTTTAGAAAGAAAGAATTAATCATCGTAATTAACATCTGATAAACTCTTGTACTAAATAACATTGACATTTTATCTTCATTATTAGAGTTCATCAAATGTAATTACTATTGTTTAAATAATAATATTCAAAAATATGTTTCGACTCCTGCGATTCATTAATTTGAAAGAAAATATTCGATTGTTTGTTAATCATATTATAATATAATTAAAATTTCTTATCGAAATACTTCCTATTCACATTTGATTCGTCATTATAATAATATTGTAATCCATCGAGGAATGACATTTCTTTGATTAATTTGTTATTTTTTTCATAATTCACCTTGTATATGACAAAAATATGTTTTACACTTAATCTATCCAAGTAATATTCTTGTAAAAAGACTGTCGTCTCAAATGTACGTAATCTGAGTACAAAAAAAACATCTTATCAATGTATTGATTATTATTTTTATTTTATCCCTAATTTTTCTATATTTTATATACTAATAGATGAATTTTTACAATAAAATCTTATTATAATCATTTAGAAAAGCAATTATTCAAAATATTCTTTAAGTACATCTATTTTCTAATCTATCATATTTCTTATAGAATAGTATAGTTTGCTGATAAATCTTGCATAGAATTAGATGATCAAAATTTTCCTTTCTATATTTGCATTCTATACACTATATCTATTCTCCGCAGCACTTCCAATCCTTTTTTCTTAGCACTCAAAGGCAGATGCAAATATTAATAGAAAAAAAAACTATTTGATTGATTCATAGAATAATATATAATGTATTATTTGAGATGTCAACATTCGTCTTTTGTTTATCGTATAACTGTTATTCATTTCTATGTGTAGATTGAAAACAATAAGAAAAGTATACTGTTTTTGGCAAACATGGTTTGTAATCGTTTTATAAATTACGATGCCCTACAATTTGTCATAATAGTCCAGACAATTTGTTAGAAACCACTCATATATGACTTATTGACAGACACAACAGACAAACTAATTTGTGATATTTTACCCAAAAATAAGTCAGACAGCTTTCTAGAACGAATTAACCTAACCTTTCTTAACCGAGAACCTTAGCTATAAATAAAATCATCAATACATTTATCGAATTTCACAAAAAGATTATTATATTTCCTATCGAAGTAGAAATTCAGCATATTTGTAAATTAATTTTTTCGCATAACAAAAAAAAGGCATACAAAGATAGATATCTAAGAATTTTTCCTCGATAAATATTTTCTTTAAAAAATAGTATGTTGCAAAAAGTATGCAGCTGTGTTTAGCTGATTTTGATTGTAATCGGATATGTGACATCCAGTCTATCATTTATCAAAATTTATGGCATCCACAATTTTTTTTTCTTCATTACGTATAATTTTGCTTGACGTTAAGAAGAAAGAAGGTTGTCTAGTAAGCATTGTTTTTATATCGAAAAAGGATACACGGTATAAAGCGCATCAAAAAAGAAATTTGAATGAAATAATTTTACACATGAATGTAAGTTTAGTCTAGCGAATGACAATATTTTGCTATGAGGATGACATTCTGTTATCATATAACCTATGTATGAGATCTATTTTTTTCTCATAAATAGGAAATGATTTGTCAACACAAATAATTATTTTTACAGTCACAAATTCTACTATCAGGTAAATTAATTTAAAATATAAAGACAAGTTTATTTTTAAATAGTTTTATCATTTTCCATTTGAGAATAATTGATAATAATATTTGTTTGATAAATGACCTGCACTTTAAAAAACTAATTAAGTTTGTGTATGTCACATCATGTTTTACATTTTATTTTTTTATGTCATTTGAGAGAAGCCTTGTCGTTTTATTCATGATTTATTAAGATATATTTTGTTATATAATTTTCTATAAATTATGTACATCTGTATTTATCAATAAATATCTAATGTTCTTTGCCTTTGAAGAAAATATTCTTCTAGTTCTACCTGGTTTTCTTTTCTACATCTATTGAGAATAAGAATAAAAATAATCTTTACATAGAATAATCTCGTTTAAAAGAAAATTACTTTTATGAAGTGCTATTATTATACATTTGATTGACAATAGAATTTTGTGTATTGTAGATTATTATCAATAGAATATTCTTTTTTTTTCTACCCTAGAAATCAGTTCTCTATAATTAACAAAAGAAAATACTAAGTAATTATTGAAATGCACCAGTAAAACATGTATAAGTTCTTAGAGTTTATTACGACTGTTTCAGTATTATATAATGAAATTACATTTTTTGATCTTTGAAATATGAGTTCTTATGAAGAGTTGTCTTTTTGAATTAAATCTCGAAATAATAAAATCTTCGTGAACAAGATCATTCTTTTATTCTACATATGTCGTGACAATATCATTTGATTATATATATTGAACTGTCACTAGTATAGTAAGACTTCTATAGTATAGAATAGACAGCATACAGAAAAGACAAAAAACATCACTTGTAAATGAAGAGCCAAAGGAAAAAAAGAAGAAAAAAAAAGAAACTCATTATTATATATATATCTAAAGTTAGTTATCGTATTTTAGTCTGTCAAAACAATCCAGTAAGAAACAATAAGCATTCCATTAGTTACAAATGGCGACAACAACAAATATATCAACTGTAATAACATTAACATCATCAGTTCAGAATTTACCACATTATTATCGATTTCAAAAAATTCATTCGATTCTGACTCAAATCTCTTACCCATATATTTTTATAATTGCACTCATTGGTCTTGTTACAAATACATCAACTGTTATTCTTCTATCAAAAAATAATATTACAAAAAATTTAAAGAATAAATGGACATTAATTGCATTAGGTAAATATATAATTTTTTACTATTGTATTTCTAGTAATAATTACATTGATATATTTTGTTTATTCTCGTACATCATATTTATAAAAGAATTATTATTCATTAAATTATAGTTAGAAAAGTTGAGATTTATTATCCTGAAAAACGTTTTTGTAATATAAAAGAATTTAATAAAAACAGAAAATCGCAGAGAAATACAGTTGAATGTGTTGAACTTAAATAGTAATAAGTACATGTATTTCTTTTTTTTAGCTCTAAGTGATCTTCTTTTTAATACGGCATTATTAATTCGTGTAATACATGATATGACCAAACAAAAAGTGGATCGTCTTTGTATAATTATATCATTTCTTAGTCATCTAGCCGAACTCTTATCAGCATTGTATACAGTTTCATTTACTATTCAACGTTATTGTGCTGTTCGTTATCCATTTAAAGCTGCTTCACAGCGTCGTTCATCACCAATTATTTCCCTTTTATTAATATTATTATTAAGTACATTATTCTGTGGATTCATGTCTCGTAATACTCTTTATATAGAATGTCATGAAGAATTACACCTCAACTGGTTTATAGCTGATGCTTTACTTTCTTTTATTATTCCATTTTTTCTTATTTTAATATTTAATATACTTATTATGAATTATATTCGTAAACATTCTCGTTCACCAATTAGTATACAATCAATATTAATAAGAAAAAGAAAATTATCAAAAAATAGTTATAAAGCATATAATCCTGAAGATACATTAGAGTTAGATTATAATCCTGCAACAAATATTACTGCTGCATATAGTCATTTTGATGGAAATGATAATATTGAAATTAAATATCCAAGAAAAAAACAATCATTAGCTGAATTAGAAAATCGAATCTATCGACCATCTATTTCATCAGTAAGTAAAATAACCTTAATAAATATACATTAAAACTAATACTAAAAAGCCAAAGGCAAAAAAGAAAAAAATTAGTATTTCCTTGTATATATTTAAAAATATCCAGAACTCACATCAGTTATTCCGTTTTAAATTATAGGTCTTCATTTTACATGAATTTTGTCATTCGTGTGTAATTACTAATATAATAGACTAGATGTCATTATTTTTAAACGAGGTTTCAGTAGAGTATTTATTCGATAGTGTAAGGATATTTGAAAGGTAATATAGTTCTCATGTTAATAGAATGTCTTATTCAACGAACAAGATAATAAAAAGGCATGTGTCAGTTCGATTTTAGATTGATGCGTAATATATATTATAGACCCTATTAAACTTTGTCTACTATAAAAAGAAAGAATCAGTACTCGTCATTTGTTTTCGAGGACAAAACAAAAAAAGGAACACGTCAACTTTGTCAAGTATATTATCTGAAAAAAAAAATTTTTGTCTCAGGCAATATAAATTGAAACAAGCAAAATGAATATCCAATCAAGTACACACTATCTATTTGACACGATTTATTCCTTGTACATGAAAAGAATCAGTATATTTAATTTATAATACAATAAGAAAAGAAGGAAAACATAAGTCTAGTATTAATCTTTCTCGAAACTTTTTAATCCATTGATGTATCATTTATTTTTCTTGAATCAGTGACTTTTATTGATGAGATAAAACAAAAGAGGTGTTCAATTTACTTAACAATAGATAATAAAAACACTTTGTTTTTTTCCAATAGAGATACTTTAATAAAGTATATAAAATTCGAGAAGATTCAGCTCTGAATCAAATTGATATTTGATATGTTCTCTTGTAAGACGACATCATAACATACATATGATCTCATATGTCAAGAATTTATTAGACTATAAATACATATTTAATTAGGAACAATAGTACTAAGAGAAAAATGACAGGTCAAGTAGACTTAAATAAGATAATCAAATAATAACTGACATTTCTTGTTATAAGATCCTTTTTCAGTGAAAAATATTTATACAATCATAATGAATAATAAAATAAAATTGAATAGGTTTTTTTATGACAAAAAAAAAAACTCAATCCTTTCGTGTAAATAATGAGAAAAAAAACATTATTTAAAGTAATACATGTGAATTAGTCCATAAGTGATTTGCAGAAAGTGCCAAAGAGAAATTCAAGCAATTTAAATATGATTCTGTCGTAATGCACAAAAAACTATTTTTCTTTAAGACATCAATTCTATTATACAAGATAATAATAATCGCTCATCGACTCTTTTTTTCTCTTTTTAGTTATTAGAACGTGCAAATTCTGAAACATCATCAAATTTCTATCGATCTCCATCGAGAACTCGTTCAAAAATGTTATTCAAAAAAAGACATTCTCACCCTAGAAAAAAATCCTCAAATGGTTCATTTACAACTCGAGCAACAAAAAAATTTTCATATCCATCAAATGATAATGAACTTACTTCTAAAGTATCAACAAGAGCATCACAATCAATACGTGTTACACGTATGCTTGTTCTTGTTTCAACATGTTTTCTTATTCTTAATGCTCCTGCACATTTATTTGCAATTGCAACTAAAATTTATACAGTCATTATCGAAAGAATACTAACTGAACAACTTAATCAAAATAAAGATTTAAAAACAGAACTTTCAATACATTCTAATGCAACAAATACATCTTCACTATTACAATATGGAACAACACATGAAGATAAATTAGCTATACATATACTTTACATGGGAGTTACATTAACACATTTTGTATCATATGCATCGTATTCAATAAATTTTTTTCTTTATTCATTTAGTGGAATTGCTTTTCGAACAAGTCTTGGACAATTAATTAATAAACTACGAAGATTTTAATATTGTTAATTTTTTGTTTTGTCTGTTTTTTATGTATTTAAAACATTATCAATTAGAAAAACAAAAATAAAAGATGTTATTTTATGTTATGTAGTAAATATTTTCAAATTTCATTATTAATATAATTGTTTTCACAATAAGAAAAATACACATTAATTTTCTTTTCTTTAATGATTAGCATATTTCTTACATTATTAAGAGTAATTAAATTATTGTATTAATCGAATAATTCGAAAGAAATTGCTTCGTTGTTTAAAACTAAAATATATATGAATTCCATCAATTGATGATATTAAAGATTATTGGCTATATGTTTTTCTTCTGTAGCAGTTAAATCAATTTACAAAACATATGGATATGACAATTGATTGTCTCCAGACAAAAACAAATATATATAAATAATCTGCGAATGTAATACTTGTTAAAATGATCCATAAAAAGAATAAATTATATCTACTAATTCATCAATATTTGATACAAAGTAACGTTGGTCTGAAAACTAGCGTAGTTCTTTCTCGTAGAAACGATGTGTCTTTACTACTAGCAAACTATTTTAAAAAGCCGATTTCAGATTTGAGTTTTTCGATCTCTATTCACATTATTTTCGGGTCAATTAGTGACGGTACGGGTACACAAGCAAGCAAACAATTTATTCTTACTGGATTCTTCCCTACGAGAAAGAGAATAACGTTATTTAATTATTTGAGAACGTGGAACACATATAAATATACATGTGCATATACTGAAAGCTTTTGTTTCTGGGTATTTATTGTTAATATATTATTCTGTTCAATAATATACATTTGTGTTACACTCGACTCGAAATGATGAATAAAGTTCATTAAAAATAAAAAAATGAATTGTTTTTAATTAAACTTATTTATTAACTTTTATGTCAAAGAAAGAGTTTCATCTCAAAAGGATTACTGTCCTTCAACTGATATATTTCAGTTGCTTTAATTTTCCATCATTCTTGTCTTTTCATTGATAGATATTTTTTAAAATTGACTATTTCTCTTTGATTTTAATCCTTTTTATTACCAAATAAAAAAACATGAATGAATATGAATACGTGTATGAGATTATATTTATCAATACACTTGTTTAAAGGAAAAAAAATACAGTCACATCACTACACATAAGATAAAAATAAAAGTCTTCGTGGTATACACTCATTAGAAAGTCTAACAAAAAAAAAGAATATTAAATGATATACACATTTAATTGATAATAAATAGGGATTTTCAAGATGTTGGTGAAGTTTCTCCTTCATTTCTCTCTGTTGTTGGCGTCGATGGTTGTGTTGCACTATTTTGATCAACAACTACATGAACAAGTTGAGCTTCAATAACAGGTAATTCAAAATGATGAAAAAAATAAAACATTGAATGAACTATAAAACAACAGCTTGTTACTAATGCTAAACCTGAATATTGACCATTATATCGAGCATGATATGCATAAAATGCAAAATGATATAAATAAAAAAATCTTTTAAAAAAATAGATAAATCTATTCGTTTTTCAATCAAAATAATGAACTTACCGAACCCAGTGACGTTTACTTAGTGGTGTATGGCAACATATACTATCATATTGATCTGATATCCACACAACAAGAATAATATAAAAAGCTAAAGAAAGAAAAAAGTCATGAGAAAAAAAATTTTCAACTAATAAAATCTCAAGTCAGTAAAAATGCCTAGCTTAAAATAATTATTACCAGTTGATGCATCATTAAAAAATTCCGACATAATTGCTTCCATACCTATAACATACAATATACTTCTTTCTTTTTTTCATTAAAATCAATCTTTTTTACCAATCAATGCTAATATCACTGTTAATAATGGTGCAGCAGGAAACACAACAGATGCATTATGTTCCATCATACGTAGAAGATCAACTAAAAAAATTTTATATAGATTTTTTTTGTCTCTCATAGTATAACTAACCAATGAAAAGAAAGATTTGAAAATGTGAATAACGAAGAAGCATTGAGATACTAATTGTCTAAATTGAAATAAATGAAATGGAATTAATATATATATATATTAATAATTAAACTTACGAATATAACCATAATAAATAAAGCAACTAGATAAGTCCACCATCGACGATTTTGTAATGTACTAACAAAACGAAAATGATCTTGTGTCATTACATTTCGAACATAACCTAAATAGAAGGAAATTGTTTTTTCAATAATCTATTATTTTAATAAATTTTTACCTTTATGAGCTTCTTTTTCAGCTAATTGTTTTATGCCAGACATCAATATTTCTTGATAACCAAGAAATTGATCAAGTATAAATCGATTTAAACTACCACCAAAACATGTATTATTTGTCATATCTTTTTAATTAAAAATAAACAATATAACAATCATACTATGATTAATATAATAGTAGATAGAATAATTAACTTTACTAACAAAATTATATGTTCTTGACGTCAATATATATGCTATAATCATTTGTTCAATAGTAAAATAATCATAACGACTATTTATAGTTCTGTTTACATATAACTAATAATCAAAAGATATGTCTGTACTAATGAACCTCTGAAAAAAAACGATAATTCTTTTACGCCATTTAAATTAACTACATTTGATATTTCTTATTATTTTTAATGTTTTAAACTGATTAAAATTAGTTAAGATCTTTTTAAATTTCAGTAAACAAAAGCTTTACCTAGCGTAACAAGTAAAACTTCAATATTAAGTCTTTTTCTTGTTTTTGGTGATAAACGTAAAAATCCATACTCAAGTGAATATTCAAGGATATGTTGTTCTTCAATTAATAATTGTTGAAGCCAATCAAAATCAAATAAATAATTATATATCAAATTAAATATTGATTCATTATCTTCTGTATCATTATTATCAATAAGTTGTGCACTTTTTATTGTTTCATTTTCAGTTAAAAATTCATTTGTACGATCAAGTGATGACAATAAAGAAGAACGAATACTCATATTTGGATAAGATTTTTCTAATAGATCATTTTTTGTTTGTTCAACCGAGTTTTTACTTATAGGAGAAATCTTTAATAATGAATAAAGAAGAGTAAATTCAAATTATTAAAAAAATTTTAGTTTTATTTTCTTACAGATTCATTTTGTTTTGCTAAGAAAAGATGTTCTTCACTATTATTATTATAATAATTGTAAAATTCTTTCGCATACGATTGTTCAAGACTATAATCTTTCGGTGGAGATTCAAAAAATAATTCAATACGAAGTACACCTTGTTTTGGCCAATTATTATGTAGATGCGAAAGACACGTCAATGGTTTTTGATTAATTACAATATGAAGATAAATAAGTAAAGTCATACAAATGATTGCCTAAAATAGTTTTCGTATATTGATAAATTGCAAGAAAAAATTATTATTAGAAGTTATTTAGCTCTGAACTCGAAGAAACAGTTCTAAACATATGTCTAAAGAGAACATGAAATTACGATTATCTCTAGAAGTAATGCCCACATGGAGACTCGCTCAGCAATTTCTAAACATCAGATTCATTGGTAATCTATTAGCTAAGGAAAATTGAATAAAAACATTTTGAAATTTTCGTGTTTTTTTACCATAACAAGTATTGCCGTTTCACCTATTCGACGAATGTGTTTTGGAATGGTTCGAGCATAGAGAACAGCAATACGATAGAATAATGCTTGAAATAATCGTTCCATCGTATCACCATCAACTGTAACTGGTGGTGGTCGTTGTTGTTGGTGATGGTGAAGACGCACCGTTGGTATGGGTTCATTTGGATTATTCGACATTACATTGTCCAAATAAAATTAGAACTTAGAAAAATATATACTATATCTAAAACAAAATAACCAAAACAAATCTCCATTTTTACATGTTTTGTTGTCTGGAATTTAAAATATGATATACATATATAACAAAAATAGAAATTTAATTTTAATGATTATATCATTTAGTCATCCCAATCTTCACAAATTGTTTTATTCTTTGAAAGATCATCAATTAATTTATTTTGTATTAATAAATTTTTATCTTGTTTTGTTATAAAATGAATTATTGTATCAATTAAATCTTGTTCATTTTCAAGAAAAATATTTTTCTTCAATGCTTTTTTTTCTACTAAATAATTAAATTTTTCTTTTAATTCATAAATTAATTCATTTGTTTTATTATCAATATTAATTTGTATCCAATTATCAACTAAAATAATACTATTTGTTGAATCTGAAGATTTTTCTCTTGAGATTTGTGTTTTACCAAAAAATAATAATGCATATGTAGATATAAAACTTATATCATGAATGAATATACTTGATGTACGAATTTTTTCATGATAAACAATTAAAGTTGATTGTGCAGATGATCGACGAATGTCATCATCCTTTAAGAAATTAATTCAAAAGATTTAGTTACGATAAAGACAACTATTTAAATTTACCCTTAATTGAGCATTAATTGATCTTGGATGTATTAAAATTCGTTTTTCAAATTTGGTTTCTAATAAACATGGTCGTTTTGATGATTTATTTGGTGATAAACGAATACGTGCAATATTTGGATAAAGTCCAGCACACATTAAAGCACATATTAAATCATTATTATTTTGATTTTTATTAGCATCGCCTATATATATATGTTAAAAACAAAGAACATGAATTTATTATAATTTAGTTTTATTATTCATTCAACCTGTGTATGAAGCAAAATAATCTTGTATAAGATGTCTTAATTGATTTCGTACTTTATCAATCATTTTCATATGATTAGAATTAAGAAAATTTTCGTAACAAAATTGATTTTTATCACGATAGGTTCGTTGATTTTTCCATTGTTTATATATATTTACTAACATTAAATGATCAGACATTGTTCGTTCACCAAAACGTTGACGTGTTTCTTTAATTTCTTGAATTTTATCAATTGGAGTAACAAAACTTTAAATATAGAAAATAAGATGTATTTTAATTGTTCACAAAAACAAAAAAAGATTCTTACGGATCTCGATAACTTAGTATTGATGCAATGGTTAAAATTGGATCAAAACACGAAAATAAATAACCAAGAATTAATAATTTACCAATTTGAGGTGCCATTGGTAAACTAAAAATATTCATAAGAAATTACCTATTTTATTATATAGAGATTTTAAGGACAGCTTTTGTATGAAATATCTCTGATAACTTTTCTTGTAATAGAAAAAATGATTAGCATATACTGATCTTACTGAGCAAGAATTCTTCCCATTGATGTTAATTCATTTGTATTAGATATTAATGCTCCAATATCATATAGAAATTTTTCTGCATGTTCAATAGCTTCAGTTGATGGTGGATCAAGTGCATCTTGTAGAAATGTTTTAACATCTGTTATGTCAAATAATTTAGCTTGTAAATAAATATTATCTAAACGTGATGTAATCATTTCAGCTTGAGGAAAATCAATAAACGAAAGACGTTCATTACAACGCGTAAATAAACGATAACATTCCCCTGGCTGAGTTCGACCAGCTCGTCCTATGCAAGAAAAATATATGCAGATTTAATAAGTCAATTTTTATTTGAATAAAACCTTTTCGTTGAAGTAAATTAGCTCGTGAAACATGTGTTGGTAAAAGACATTTGCCTTGTGTTTCAAGATCATAATCACTAGCTTTTGTTCGACCAGTATCAATAACATAAATAACATCATCAATAGTTATTGATGTTTCAGCAATTGATGTTGATAAAATAATTTTACGTAAGGTTGGATGAGGTGGTGGATCAAATATTTCATGTTGATTATGTAATGGTAATAAACTATGTAATGGTAAAATATGTAAATAAGATGCTAGTAATGTTCTTTGACGAAGTAACTGAGTACATTTAACAATTTCACTCCAACCAGGAAGAAATACCAGAATTGTACCTAGAATTTCAATATAGAAATACTAATTGTTTGAATTTTATTATGAATAAATAGAAAGTTTCTGGATAATATACGTAGAATGTATATACAAAATGAACAATATTTTTATTTAATGGTGATTATTTCAGAATTAAGTGCTTATTAAGAAAGCTCAGTATTTTACTATTACGATAACAAAATATACAGGTGAGATTATTTATACAATGCTACTCATCAGATTTTTATTATTGTTCTCATTTCATTTTATAATACCTTGAGAAGATATTCGACATATCAATTCAATAACACTAACAACTAAATCACAATTTATTTCTAAACCATAATCAGTTCCAATTGCTTGAATTTTTTTCAGAACATCAATAGATTTATGTTGTTGTGCTAAATCTAATTCAAGTTCACTAATATAATGATTTAATTTCATTTCATCATTTTCTTTATTTGATGATCGATATGTTCGTCGATTATTCGTTGTATTATCATAAGGATATTTTAATTTTGTTATATAATCTTCAAGAAAATATTCTTTTATTGGATAAATATTTCCTGGTATATGTAATATTGGACAATTATTAAAGTATAAACTAAATTTTTCAGCTTGAATTGATGCACTAGAAATGAAAAAAATATTTATAAAGAAATTCTTTTTATAAATATATATGTACCTCATTAATATAATTTTAATATCTTGACGTATTTGTAATAAACGTTTAATAAAAATAAGTAAAAAATCCATTTCAATATTTCTTTCATGTATTTCATCCAAAATTATATGAGAAAAGTGTTCGAAATGAGTATATTTTTCAATATATTTAAGTAACATTCCTGTTGTACAAAATAAAATTGAACCATATTTACGTGGTAGTTGAGCTGAAAGACGAATATGATATCCAACAGAATCACCGGGATGTGTTTCACCACGTTCTTGAGCAACACGTTCAGCAACTGATGTTGCTAGAATAGCAAACAAAAAAAGAAAATATAAAAGCTTCTAATCATTAAAAATATGAACGAACCGCTAATACGACGTGGTTGTGAACAAAGTATTCGACATTGACTACCTTGATTTTTTAAAATTTGATCATCAAGAATAAATCGAGCGGTTTGTGTAGTTTTTCCTTAAAGAATTAAATTTTAAATAATATTTATTTATAAAAGAAATTTACCTGATCCAGTTTCTCCAACAAGAATAAATATTTGATTTTGTTCAGTTGTATTAAGAATTTCTTGACGATAATCAGTTATAGGCAAATGAGTTCGTTTAACATTCAATTTTTGATATAATGATGTACGTTGTTTTTTATGTAAATCTTCTAATAGATTTTGATCAGTTACTGAGTTGCGTTCTAATGGTTCAAAATATTGAAATGAACTATGTAGTTTTTCAAATTGAACTGCATGTTCGACATCATCAATTGGTGCATTATCATTCAAATTTGATACAGATTCTTTG